GTTAAATCTACTTCATCTTGATAAAAAAGGAATTTTATATCTTGCTTTGAGAAAGTTATTTAATAAATGTTTTATCACTGCATGTAAACAGTACGTAGTCTGTACATAGGTAAGTAATCAACACCAATGCTGTGTAATTAAATACGAATTATATTTTAATATTTGCAATGAATTTAATACAGATTACATAAACAAGAGTAAAATATATTTTGCTTTTGCTATTATTGATAAATACTTCCTACTCTTGTAGATTAAACAGCATTGTTATGTATTCCCGAACGTGTATACGTAATTGTACGTACTTATCTACACCTAAATTGACTAGGATATTTTCTAATCTATTTTATTTTGAATGATGACTGATTTTCTGAAAAGTAATGTAAAATATATGAGAATAAATAATATATCAGGAACTGAGAAATTAAGAACAGTATCTTGCCGATTCTAGTTTTAATACATAATATATCGTTTTCATTTTTTGTATCTAAGTACTCACAATCGTGTTCTAGTTTTTGATGTTTGTTATCATCCCGTCTAATGTCTTTACCTAAAAAGTCACCACCACTAAAAATAAAGGAAAATTGCTCAAAAGTAATGGATTTTCTCCAAGTAAAATAAAGCTCCATCTAATAGCACATTGTTGTTTTGCATTTTTCTATAAATAGAAACATAATCTGTTCTCACCTACTTCTATCAGCTTTTACCTGTTTTACTATCTTAAGGTACACTCTCCACCTCTGCAATTAGTTGCATAAATACTAAGTTAGATTTTAGTCGATTCCCATCTTAAATTTAACCCTAAATCCGAAAAATCTAAGCTTCACCGGCATCTTTGCACCGATCCGATTTCATGTATATATTCATTTATGAAATCGGATAGATTCCATATTATATTGATTTATTATATTCATGAATTTCATTCACCCCCTCCCTAATATCATGATTTTTTTAGTCTCTCATCGTCACTAACAACACAAACATTTCCCTCGTACATCGTCTCCATTCCCTTCTCTTCTTATGAGAGAACAACTATGACAATCAATGTTCTGTTTCAATATTGTAGATAATAAGTTATCCAAAGTCAAATAGAGTTAATGAAGATGAATTCCTCAAGTTCAACAGATATTTCCTACCCTTATACTGTTATACATATTCAGTTGAATATCATTGCAACAATAGGAGTTATAGTTGCGTGGAAATGATTTCAAGAGCGCTCTGGGGGATGCTCGTGGAGAATGCAACTCCGCAGACGGCGCGGCGCCCAGATCTGTATAAAGTGTCAGTGTGTAGTACTATTACTATACACACTGGTGTATAGTGAGCGCACTTCAAACGTATGTTATAATGAAGAATGGTAAATGCGAAAACAGAGCCGAGGCAGTTCGAGACACTTGTGATTAAATCAATGTTTACATTAACAGACAATTGAGGACACTGACAATATTTTTTTTTATTATAGTACTTTTAAACTTGTTTTGTATTTATTCAATAGTGGTTTTATTTAATAAGTACACATTCTTTTACCTTTGCTTTCCTAATGCTCGCTGTTTGAACATCGTCGGCTCGCGCGACTGGAGTCCGCGAGCAACGCTCGAACTCGAGGGGGGTGCGAATAACACCGCACCGGCCGCCCGACACTTTTGATCTCGCCACCGAGTACAACTCGCGCGATAAACTCTTATATTTTAATTTTGCTTCTCTGTAGTACTTACTCAACTATATAAGGTTTACAGTCCATACAGAATTTCATTTATAAGTCCATACTTTAGGACTCCACTTTCACTTTCTTTCCTTCAATATTTCCATGATTAAGTGTATTATTAAGTATTAGACTTTGTACTTCAGCCCCGGTGGTCTAACGGTTTAGCAAACTGCTTTACTACGATACGAAACATAACATTTTTTTAACACTACAATGGTGCCACCATTGTAGTGTTCAAGCAATTCACAAATTGTAGCAAACAAGCTTCACAAGTATGATATGTTTATATTGGGGTTTACTGTGTATATATTTTTTAAATCTTACTTTTATATAATATATTATGTATGTATTTAAGAAAACAAAATATTTATTTGTACAAGTTATCTAAAACACAAGCTCAATTTAGCTGCTTAGATGGCGATGAGTAAATTATTATTACTATTCCCTTACAGTTCCTGCATCGCCTATATACGTTAGTAGTGGGGAACAGAATTGTTAGTAATGTGGTTTAATGAAACCATTGTTAACAATGTCAAATTGACCTCCATGCGATTCCTCTGCAAACCATCATTATAAATTTCTTATGAATTTGTCACGATCGGCTATCTGACCTGATTTCATGCACATCTTATTCCCCACCTGTGCGGCGCTAGCATAAGTCGTTAGTGTAGGCGGGAGCACCAATCCATTATAATCCACTACTGAGGTAGTGTATTCTGCACCTACGGATCTGAACTAAGTAAGTGCAATGTGTGTTGTATCATATACGTACGTACATATACATAGTGTATGCCTTTTAATATATTATTATTTTTCTATATACTTTTTTGTGTTCACTTTTTGATGGCATGACAGTATTTACCTTCTTGAGATAAAATCACCAAACTATTATTATTATTAAAATTCTATCCATTTTTTGGTGTAACAAGTATACACGGAAGTAAGTCAATAGAGTATTATATTTAGTTGTTATAATTTGTATGGTTCTATATCATCATCTGCTTCTTCCTTATGCCATTTATTTGGGGTCGGCGTAATATGTTTTTCGCTTCCATTCATCCCTGTTCGCAGTCATCGCGTTATTTACTTCTTTTCTTACCATATCATCTTTCACACAGTCCATCCATCTCTTTTTCGGCCTTCCTCTGCCCTTATAACCATCCACATTCATATGTAACATCTTTTTTAAAATATTATCCTCGTTCCTACGCATTACATGTCCATACCATAATAGACGATTACTCTTCAACCTCTCTAACACCGGTGCCACTTTCATACTTCCTCTAATGTATTCATTCTTTATCTTATCCATTCTTGTCACACCACACATCCACCTCAACATTCTCAACCTCTGTATGGTTCTATAGTATATTATAAATTACTAGCTATGCACGTGGCTTCACCCTCGTGAAATTTATAGTCTATGTGTCATTCTGATATGTAAGCTACTACTTACTACTGTAAAGTTTCATCAAAATCAAGTAGTTTTTGAAAGAGTAACAAACATCCATACTCACAACCATTCGCGTGTATAATATTAATAAGATTTTCATTTATACCTACTATATTTGTGTTGTTACCTGCAGCACCTGCTGTTTTTCTTATATCTTTACCGTCTAAAGGTAATTTGGAAGAGAAAGCTTAGCGACAAGACCGTCTTTCTAACATATGCAAATATTTTAAATTAATATGATCTTGGTGTGATAAAGTGTATAAAAAGCCAATATCTAAATATAGTACAGTGTACATACATTACGGTACAGCAAAGGCTTCGCTAAAATTAAACTAACGAAGACAAATCTGTACGATCATTAACACAGCGTTTCTATCATTCCATACCCCTTTAAGGAATGGAGCAGGGACAAGGAATCGGTTTATGCCAACCTCAGTAAGTTTATTTATTCTGTATGGTTCTGTTATAAAAAGACATAATGTTGAACACATTGTCTTTTTATAACAGAACCATAATTTACATGAAACTAAAGTTGACATTTATAATATATATGTATCGAGTTTTTATATATCTGATATATAAAAAAAATGGTTATATAATTTCAGTAGTTACGTGTTATTGTTACAAATATTAGCAGTTGTTAAAAGAGGTGTTTTGCACATTTTTTGTGTCCAGTAACGTGGGCATTTATTCAATGACTCAAAATGGGACATTGGTTTATGTTTGTCAATTAATAAATAATCAATAAAAACGGTTTTTTTAATTTATTTAGACAAAGTTAGCTTAATAGTTACGAATTATAAAACATACCCGATTCAACCGCAAGTATCGAAGGAATGAAACGTTCTATAATACATATATATGGTGAAGATTTTCAGTAAGAATGATCTGGGCACATTTTTTATTATCAACGTTACAATGATCCGATCCTACTACCTAAATTTTCGCGTGGTCTTCAAAAACGGGATAATTTTGAGTCCTAAAGTTCATTTCGGGGACACCGGGACTTGTAATTATAAAAAGCGACAGTTAAAACGGGATAACTGGTCACGTAACATAACAGTCACTCAAAGTGTTAGCCTCTAAATGTTGCATTTCCGTAGGTCAAAATCTCGTACTAAATATATTTTCGTACCAGTATATCTAGTACCCCACCGACGACCAAACATCACGTATTTGTAGTCTTAAAAAAAATATGTCATCGATTTCAGTAACTGACGATACTGTGAATAGAATAGACTAGAATATTATTTTTTACATTACACATCACAACACAAGAATGACGCTGCTGACATTCTTGTGCAGCAAGTAAATTTATATATATGAAAGGAAATTATAGCATAGAAAAAGAATAATAATGTTGAAAAAAAAGTAAAATGCATAGCTTATCCACCATTGTGGGGCATCGTCACGCGTCATTGTTTGATTGTGAATTAATGTGTGCTTAAGAGACGAATCTCAGCATTATGCTGTGACTAAAGCTACGACGCTCATGTTCAGAGGAACCCGGGATAAGAGACTCAAGGATAATGTGCAAATAATTTAAATTTAACAACTATAGGAGGAATTATTTATGTAAGTATTGAAAAGTAATTTGAGTGCTGGAGAAGTATCGGAACATTTCTAATGCGGTCAACGGAGGAGCATAAAGTGGAGTCGTGTGATGGGTCTGTTTCATATAATGTGTTATATGGAGGGCTGCGGCCGGGTCTGCGGCAGCGTCACAGCAGCCGACCGTCAGCCGACAGTGGGCAGCCGGCAGCCAGCGGGCAGCCAGTCATCAGCGCGGTCAGCACTCGGCAGTGAGCACTGCCACTAGTCGGTTGTGTTTGCGGATGACGCACGCACCGCCCGTCGCGGCGCTTGAATTCGGTACGTGACTCGCGAGTGCGGCACTCAGCATTCGGCTAGAGAGGCGCGTACGCAGCCGACGCGCAATATGAGCAGTGGCAAGAGGAAGCTTTCGTTCCTAGGGTTCGCCCCGCAGGTCAGTCCAACTAACTACACCACTCTTCCATCCCGAGTCGTACCATCTTCACCACCACCTCACAAAGTGGTAGTTACCATTTATTTATTGTTTCTCTGTTCATATATATATTTAGTATGTAATATAGTTCTCTCGTAATACTTAATAATGTTTTCTGTTTAGGGTGTAATATTTCGTATATTACACTTATAAGTCTCCCTGTTGATGTAACAATTATAATAATTAAGTTTCACCGAGCGCCGACTTACAAAAATAACTTAAGCTGTAAGGAAGCTACACGGCCGCCCAAAAAGTCCGTACACAATTCAGCCACATCAAGCAGGGGGTCCTTTTGCTCCGCCTGCGATGTAAGGCGCGACGCAGTGCGGCGCTTGCGTCGATTGTAGGCCGAGAGTAGTTTGTCTAAAATAAGAAGAGATACTTGCAGTTGATTAATATGACCATAGGCGCGTACCCCTTGGAGGAGAATATGGGGCGACTGATTGCCCAGGATAGTCCTGGGCATTCGCTCGCACTATCTTCTCTTGCCACGCTACTCATCGTGAAATAATTTCTAGCGATGTATTGCACAAGCGAAATCATTTTTCAAAATTTGAAGTTTAAATTATTAACAAATTCGTATTTGTATTAATTTCACAAAGTTTTAATTGAATAAAGTTTCGAGCTCTGTAATTTGGGCTGCGCGTAATTTTATCATTAATAAATACATGTTCCTAATTGTTGTAGTTCACAAAATTATAAACAATACAATTAAAATAAATAAACCTACGTAGGATTTTCTGGCACTTGCCACTCTTGTAATTTTTGCGAGAACGTCTTCTTTACGTTTATTTTTGAATTTATTTAAAACAAATATTATACAATTATTTCAATAATCTGTAATTTTATCACGTTTTTAGTTTACGAGCAATTTCCAGATCTCTATATGCGACAGTACTTTTTGTTTTGTATGTTATTCACCAACAGCGAACCGATTATGATGATTATTATTGATACATTACACTTGTATCAGAAATATAATAATATCATCCGATTTAAAGTTAAATATGTATATGTGGTACGAAATTTTATACACACAGAAACTGCTACGTGTCACATGACAACGTGACCAGCACATAAATACATATTGTCTAAGAACAATTACAGTTATTATTTTTGACACATTGTTCTATAAAAAAAACCCCCGCTAATCAATCGTAATAGATTTTGGGAACAATAATAATAATAATATATAAATCCTATCGATTACGTTAGTTTAGCCATATAGAGTAAGCAAAATTTCTTTTCCTAGTAGATGAAAAATTATACCTTAAAACTAAAAAATATAGAAATTATGTGGGCGATAGAACGTGGACGGACTGAGGTCATTGCTGTTGACAATAGATATTATTAAAATTAATTAAAATATTATTATTACAAGAAACTAATCAAAAGAGGAAACTTTTTTTCTGTCCACATTTTCATCCATTTTTTTAATTGTCAAATTGCCTTCTTAAGTTTAACAAGTTATACCCATAGTTAACTATTTCTCACTTTTTTTTTCTTCGTATCTCAGTACACTTTGTTCTTGAGTAAAGGCCTCGATTGATGTAGCGCGTAAGCCTTCCTTCTTACCTCCAATGGTCACGGGTTCGCTTCCTCGCTCGATACAAATATTTGTATTTATGAGTATGATTGTTTATATTGGTATGGGTATGTCTACCCATAATACAAGTTCCGCTTAGTTTGGAGCTATATAGTGCTGTGTAAATTGTCCTGCGTTATTATCATTATAGTGATGCAAAAACGTTGTTTTTACGAAATTTGCAGGGACAGAGAAGTATGAAGAACGCATAGAAGTATAAAGTCTATGACAATAGAATCTAAATAACATTTAATTTAAATTAATGATGGTCAAATTTCGAGCTTTAGGCGCCCCCTAGTCATAATTAAAGTAAAACTAAAACCATTATTTTCATTTTACTTAAAGCAATATAAGGCGCAGACGCAGATTCTCGTCTGCCGCACCGCGCTATTTTATAAGTTAAGGAACGAGGCAATACCACGCGATATATGACTATGTACATAATAAGACATAGCGACAATTTCATGTGCACCTTTTGACCAAAAAGTTCAGATATCTGTTGAAATGCCATGATACATGCTTAACTTGCACCATCAGGACACAGTACTAATGTTATTGATACATCTGACGGTGAAATAGACAGTTTGTCAATGATGACTTAGAAGACAGCATATGTTAAAACATAGCCAGACGCGGACGTGACGGGCTATCATACTTACGGCGATATTCAGGCTTGGCCTCGAAATCGATCAATCAATCAATCGATATACCTAGCTCACTGATAAATTATTATTATGTAATAAGTACGTAACGTACTACTTAATATAAAATGTATAAGAATATGCCGTGTAATATCGGCGAAAGAAATGACTAGGAAGCGACGCGCGCTGTATTACTGTGTACTCTACATTTCTTTCTTATGCCTTATGCAGGCGAGTTTACTGATGACACGTTTCATTAGAGCAGAATTTCATTTTTATGAATTAATATATTTTATATGTGTTTTGCAGACTGTTAGGTTTTAATTGTTCCATTGAGTAATGAAGCGCTGTACATATTGTGAGGTGTACGTGACTCTATCAACCGCACACTGACGAGTACAGCATTCCACACTTGTGATATTCATGACAATTGATTTCGTAGGTACATATCTGCACTATCAGTAAGAGAATCGACATCAAATGACTGTAAATAACAGATATTCTCAATTGCACTATATGTTGGATTTATATTGACGGCCTCGGTGGTCCAGGGGTTAGGCACATCGCTTTACTCCTGATGGTCGCGGGTTCGTTACCTCGGACGGTGCAAAAATTTGTATTCATGAGTACGATTTTTTGTATCGGTCTGGGTGTTTTCTATGTATATATTTACAAAAAAATATCTAAGTATTTATAGCAGTTGTCTAGTACCCATAACACAAGCTCAGCTTACCGTGGGACTAAATGACACTGCGTTAATTGTCCAGGGTGATTTATTATTATTAATATATATTAAGCGATCTTATAATCGCCACTTATCATTTAATTTCGTAGATCGTTTTATTTGAGATAATTCCATCTATATATAATTTGTCAAAGTTGAGACTGGTGTCTCGTCTCATTCTATACACCGATATGTTCTCTATCTGTCACGACAATGCCACAATGTCACGACGGGCGAATTATAACAGAAGTGCACCTACGTATTAAAGCACAGGACATGCACCACTTGGCCTACTTTCTGAATAGCCTAACAACGGGCTGACTGATTCTCAATGCACGATATGAGCCATTGGGGTTACAATACAAATACAAAACGTAAATCGTTCCCGTATTACATCTATAAGGATACAAGTAATACTTAGGCATTAACTAAGAAAATAAATCACTAGGAAATAATTGTTTCGAACAAACGGAGCAGCTAACAGCAGCTGGTTTACATAAAAATCGATTAGTGTATGACTAATGCATGCGAGAGAAAAATATAACAAGATGAATAGTTTTAAAATATGTGGAATTTTAGATGATAGTGTAACTTAACTATGTATAGGTACATTCGCGTCAATATACATATATGTGGTGTGATTAGATACTGAATTTTATCTCGCTGATTATTATTTACCGATGATTTATTCCGCACACATCTAGATATTTTGTTTTGTTTAAATGAGTCAAGGTTACTGTCAATTAAATTAAGTGATAAATAAATATTTAATTATCATCTGCGGTTCGTTTTTATGGAGTCAATAAAGAAGGACAGCACGGCTGTTCTATTGTATTCATAGTATATAGTACTGTTACATAATACCATTATTATACTGAAGTGTCTCGACCCGTCAAATTTTTGTATCTTATCGGCAGTGGAACATTTATTCAAGGTACATCAGGCGATAGGGTTATTTACGCGAAATTTATCAATTCGCAATGTAACAGGTGGATAAGATAAGTGCTCGAGCCCACACCTTAATACTGGGACGTCGGTGGCGCTACATGCGTGATGAACGTTCCGACGTCCGCGAGACCTCCACCCGCCGGTGGTGCTGCTGCTTGCACGCGGCTGGCAGCAAGTCGAACGACGCATTAACTCATCATTGACGACGCGCGAGCATGACGGCTGTCAGTTGTCATTACACTGCACACGTTGAGCGACATTATTATTCTATGAGGTCATTACGCTAAAATTAACAATACCTAATCAACAACCGCGGACGCCGGCGCCGACGACGGTGTGCGAACACGAGACGACCGTGCTCATTACTCTATGATAATGACAAATATATATACATACATGTATATGTAGGTCGATAGATGATGTATATGACATATATGTAGGCACTAGAGTTGCCACGAATGTTGAGCTTCTATCAGTGAATCCGCCTTATCGGCTACTGTTTTAATATCAATACTAAATCATAAAAAGGGCCTAATAAATACAAAATCCTAATGTAAACTATACTATCTTTCAGTTATATAGTGCCTACCTATTTCATTCTATTGTGACATGAATACATCAGTATAACAAACAACAAAGTGGTAACAGTATTCATCCGCCAACTCAAAAGCTTGAGCTGAGATTTGAACTCCTAGCTCTCAGACTAAAAGCATATCTGCTAGGCAGGAATTAGCCTTCAGCTTCTCCGTAAGTCCTGCCGCAGGTTTGAAGTGCAATTAGTATTTATCCCCTATTGTTTGATGACGCTGTAAGCCATATGATGCTGTTGGCCAGCTGCGACCAAAAGTACCTAAATAATTAGGAAAAAAAATGTACAAGAATATACTTTCGTTATGCTCTATTGTGGACATATCTACAAGTCACTGTATATCATTAGAAAAATGGACAGAATACAACTTGATATAACCAATAATGTCTATTGTTTTGTAACTAGACAAAACTGGGACAAAAGTATCTGTGAGTATTCGGCTTTTCTTCCTAGAATCTAGCAGAATATTTTACA